CTCTCTCTCTCTCTCTCTCTGTGTCACACATACTCACAAACACTCAAACACACACACACACACACACACACACACACATACGCAAGTTCAATCCCAAACGTTTTCAGGGCAATAAAAATCGTCCAACAAACCTCTTACCTTCCCCCAAAACCAAATTGAAAATTGGCAAGTAGAAACCATGAAAGGGCACTCAAGAAATTAAGGACATTGGGAAATCCCACGATGGGATAAGGATATTTATTTTGCCCTTTTGAGAAGAATCCTTGTAAATGAAGAAGTGGGTTTCATGGAGTACGAAAAACAAACGTAGTAATGGTATGGTTCGGAATTGTGTAATGAGGAATAGTATGATACGGTATAGATGGGTAAAGTATTTTAATGGCATGAGGTTTATAAACTCCTTTCAGTACTTTACGAGGAAAACAACTTCAATCTTAATTTCGACAGAACAGAGCAGACTGGAGCACCAATTGTGAAAAGTCCTCAAACGACGTATAGGGGGATTCGAGCCATACTTACAGATATTCTGAGCTTACGTGTGTTAGGGGCTCTCTCGTGTCCTAGAGGTCAACGTAACGTGTTTGTCTCTCACTCAATAGACCCCGGGTTCAAATCCTGATAGCGGCGGAACAAAAATTTTCTTCTCTAAAATTTTCTCATTTGACATGCTTTCCTGGTCTATCAAGTTCTGTCTTTCGTCTCCACTTTCTGCCCCAACCCCCCTCATCCCTTTGCCCCCTCCTCTGGGCTCCCGACTCTTTCTGTATATCCTTTCTACTGCTACTCCTTGGTTCATTCTTACTGCTTTTTTCAGCCACACCCCTGGTCTTATGGCAGGAAAGAAGTAAATGAGTGAATGAGTGACGAGTGGATGAACGAGTGGATGAACGAGTCAGTGAGTTAGATCGTGAGTAAGTGAATGAATGACTTAGGGCATGGACAAATCCTCAAAGGGATGAGAGGGAAGGTTTGTAAGAAGGCAAACGATTCATCGTCAGAAAGTTACAACGAATATATTGAAAACAAAATGAGTTGGTAAGAAGGAATCAAGGAAGAAATAAAAAAGGCATCGCAGTCAAAACAGTAACAGAAAGCATTTTTGAATTTTTTGGATCGAAAATGTTGTTTTAGTTTCAGTAAGCATTTTACGGAACATGCAACACAAGGGTAAGTACCGAAGATAAGAGGTGTTACAAGAGAGTTAAAAAAAAAGGAAGACAAATAAGGACGATAGACGTTCGTTAGGAGAGGAGGAGCAAACCACACTACAGCATCCGCCCAACACCTACACAGAACATGCAAAGAGAAGCCATTTTCATGGGATTTCACAGACACAGCAGAGGCATTTTATAATAAGGTAAAGAGGATGTGGTTCGGGTGAGGTGGGGGTGAGATGAAGGCTGAAATTGGAAGGACAAAAATATTTCGTAAAAAACGCAATTATTTAGGCAAAAGATGAGCTTCTGACACACAGAAACAGCAATAAGATGAGTTCCCTGCAGACTGCCACAGGGCATCGAACTGCTCACGGTGAGCAGTTATCTAGGCGGGAGATGCTGAAGAGGGCCCGAAAAGGAGCGTCGTCATCAGGTCTCAAGGATGCACAAGTAAATTGCTTTTGCTCTTCCCAACATAATCACTTCCGCCGAGCATAAGATCACCCGCATCCAATTTTCCCCTTGCCATAAAGATGAACCAACATCTTTTATCGACGCTCTTGTCCCTTTTCGCAAGAAGGTGGTATACGACGGTGGAATGAAATAAACTATTTACAAGGTGCTTGCATGATATATAAAAAAGAGACCCCAAGTCCACCGTCGACGTTTTTTAACACATAAACTCTAAACATGTGGACAATATCACAGATTTGTGCAATCAAATTTCGCCGTGTGGCACATATGTTCAAATCATGTAGATCAATTATGAAATAACATCAAAGAAGCATCACAGATGCCTCGTAATATACAAAGAGCCCCCCG